GAAGCGTCGTGTCGGAATAAATTGTGAAAAATGATGATGAAAAAAATATTGCACAATTAATAAATATCACGCAAAGTAATACGTCTTAACTTCACGATCTAAAAAATTAGACTAACTCCTGCGCAACAAGTTCAGACACGAATTAATTTAGAAGGGTGGGGGCGGTCAAATATGGACGAATATGATTCGTCAGATTTATGTAAAAGAAAAATTAACCAATCACATAACTGCTAACAAATATTTTTACAAATTAAATATGGCAAACTTCTCCCATTGGCTAAACGAAGCTGCGCAGTATTCAAACGACATGATGCGCAGAACACATTCAAATTTGATCGTTAACAACCACGCCATTAAGAATATAGAAGAAAATAAATGTTACTAATTATTCAATCTAAGAAAAGTAAAGCATAATATGTCTATCTTTATTAAAATAAATTAAATGTTACCATATTTCCATGAAAAGATACCAAACTGAATGTTAATCATCATGGCGTCTTCGTAATATTTTGAAGTTTCTTCCGCACGCAACCTTTAATCTGCTAAAAGAAAATCAAAACTTTCAAATAAATAAGTTATATAAGAATAAGAACGAATTATATGAGAATTAAAAAAAGAAAAAATCGAGTTACATAAGAATAAAAAATTGATCAATGTCAAATGCTGTTTTGCAAACATATAATTGTTAGCAAGCTACCAATGAATGTGACAATAAAGATAATTTGAAGGAAAAAAGATAATTTAGTTATGAATTTTTAATTAAAAACGTACGTTAATTAAATGAAGATAATGGTAGTGTCCTTATGAACGATGCAGATGATTAAAGTATTATACAATTAATAAATGTTGAAACAAAGAAATATATCTTGACGCCATGATATTAGACAATGGACTAACCCTCGGCGCAACAAGTTCGCGTCGAAACTATGATGCAACAGTTTGGAGAGGTGGGGTGGGATGGCGGTGAGGTGGGGAAGGAAGATACAAAAGGGACTCGGCTTTTCGAAAAGCAAATCATTTTCATATTATACTATTTCATTTAGTATAATACAATTAATAAGATTAGTAAATATAATACTTAATTAAAATTACGAAAATACATTTAATTAAATCACGAAATACACTTAGCAAAGTACACATAGTATACACATACACATATACTTTATATACATGATTCATCAAAACAATTGTAATAATCTAAATATTAGTATTTATAAATATAAATAAATTATTGTAAATAAATTAATCTAAATTTAATAAGTATAAGAATAAATTAATAAGTTATAACCATTTGATCAAACATTAACATGAATTGTTCTAACTTGTGACTTTATACAAGATATCTGTATGTCATCGAATCCAATACGACAACTAAGTATTACTTTTATTTGAAGCATAGATAGAATTTTCAAAGTGAAATTTTATCAACGTAATCATAATCGTAATCGTAGACATGTTTGTATAGACACGAAAATTTTCTACCTGATCAAATACCTTCATGAATCATTGTAAATATATGAAAATACATGTGTACACTCTTAACCGACAAGGAACTAATATATATGATAATAACTTTTTTAAACAATACTCACTATTCTAAATCAGAAACGTATTCACCAACACAAGTCTCGAAGTTACTAACCACAGTCTTCATCTGACAACTTCTGGATAATGCTTCTTTTTGCTGTACTTCCCGCCTAAAACGACACTACGTTATGAATATAGTGCTATAAATCAATCGCGAGAAATGTGTCAATTATGTTCGAGAATCGAAGATTGCAATAAGTGTATTCCACATTTCACAGTTGGTACTGTAATCTTTGCCTAACTTTAAGTCATTGCGTCAATATACATACTTCATACGAAAATATATATTATCTATTTCAAAACAAGTAATGAAAAAACCTTTTTTAAATTTTTCTCGTCTATTAAATAAGATAATGCCTATAATTTTATTTTTTAGCTTTGGTCTACGTCTAATAAGCGTATCTTAATTTTATAACATAGTTTTACGTTTTAATTAATTTGGTGAAATTAATATGTAAACGATCTGCTCTGCGAAATAATGTCCATTCAATTTATTATACTTCCTTGTCCAACATCATGGATTTCATTGTCAGAAAAAGAAAAGCAATATCATTAACTTTATTATTTTTATCGACTGAATTAAATATACATGCATATGTAATCTTATTTTTATTTGCTAACAAATTGTAGAGGACATAAGAAACATTCTGATTTCAGAATTTGAATAAATGAGAGTTATTAAAATCACAATTTCGTTAATAACAAATAATAATTAAATAGAAAATTTAAATAATATTATCCGTGCATTCCTATTAATTATAAACGCAATCAAGTAAAACAAAGCTTGTATTTTTCATGAAATCTTCATGAAAACTTCATGAAATTGATACTTATGATTTATATTAGACAATGAAACAATGAAACTTCGTTATTGTTATAATACATGCAGTAATA